TCTGGGAATAACAACCAACACTGGGGTTTCCTGTGTAGCGGAGGCAAGAAAGTCTTTTCCTTTACTCATCATAGGCTCTTTAGGGAGGGCCTTACATGGTCAACTAATAAAAGAGAGATTAGGGAAAAGAGGTTGTAAATGTGCTGTGATGTTAAGTGTTCAACAGGCGCACAATAAAGTCTTTTGTGCTAAAGTTACAGTGCCCGTGTGTGCAGGGGAAGCTCTCTTCTCCCTGCCCCTGCTCAGATGAGCCCCCTTGGATGACAAGTCCCAGTAGCCCCCGAACCAGACTTCCTAACAAGAGGCACTGCTGGGAACGAGGGGTGCTGAGTGGCCCCCAGGGTCTATATCACACAGAAGCAGGCGGCCCCTCTCCCTCTTTCTTCTTCCCCTTCAACTTGCCCCATGGACTTGGAGGGGAGGTGCCTGGAAGACACACCTGGTGACAGATTCCTGCGAGGCTGCGCCTCCTCCTTGGCAGACACAATGGCAGTCGTTACCTTGATGTGCTGTATTTTCCATGTTCCTCCCCCCTCTCTATCCCAGGTCTCTGGGAACTGCGAGCTCCTTCCTGTGGTTCCTCCACAGAAGAAACATGCAGCAGGCTTTTGGGTCAACCCTGTTTGGCAGTATACCCCATGAAGACACGGGTTATACTCTTAAGAATATCCTTTCTTGTCTTTTTTCTCTATGCACATTCATTCTAGTAAATATTTTCCACACTGCCAGTGTTCTTTGCTTTTGTGCAACATATAAATGCACCCTGTTTAGAGCATGCATGTCCTAATAGGTTGGGGCCAATGGGTGACCCTCAGTCACACATAACACCACAAGTCACCAAACTAAGACTTAGTGTGTATGTTTACTGCAGTTTTAGTCTCTCCAGGAACTTAACCTGACCCAGTCAGTCTGTTATATCCAAAACAGGGAACTGCCTGGACGACACCTCCCTGCCCTGGGAAAGATCACCTTGCCAGAAACAAGCCACTTTCCTCATCTCCTCCCCTCCTGTCTACACAGCTTCCATTTTGTACAGTTGCGGGGCGCTCTCTGCCAGTTCATGGGATGTTGCCCAACACATGAATTCCTTCATAGATCAAAGAGGTGCTTAATTTTACTAGAATGCATTTTTTAAAGATATTACTGGCACAGAGCTCCAAAAAGATCTTTAATTTCCTTTGTGAGGAGAGCCCTAGAAGCAGCTTTTCTATTTTAATACTTAGTCTTTGACCATGGCTCCTGACACAGCTGCTGAATCCCTAGATTCTCCTTGCTGATGCAGGATTTTCTGTTTTAATGAGGTGACTTGATGGGCTTTCAGATATATTCAGGATGGAGGCTGCTCACATCAAATGTAAAGAGAGAAGAACCTTGGAACTTTCAACCTCAAACACCCCCACACTCCAGGAGAGACGAAGTGCTAGAAACTGAGTTAACTGATCAAGCTTTTAGAATGACGTCTATGGAAAGAGACATAATATGGGGGCTTAGGATGGACGCTGGTTATTTCCACTTTGGGGCTAGTTCAAATGATTCCACTGTGAACAGTGTTGTACAAGATTTTGTGTGATGATGGTCAAATTTGAAGCTTTGTGCCTAGAGGTAGAATTGCCACTTCCAGTGGTAACTTGTTCAACTTTTTAAGGAACTGTCTGTTTTCCCAAGAAGCTACAACATTGTATGTGCTCACACGCCTGTATAACATTCCAATTTTATTGTGGGTATTTTTAAATGTAACTATGCTAATGGTGTTAAGTGCTATCGCATTGAGGTTTTCTTTTCTTCTGGCTTTTGCATTTTCCTAATGAGTGGTGATGGTGACACCTTCATGGCTAATTGTGTGTCATTTTGGAATAATTTCTATTCACTTACATTGCCCATTTTAGCTGGGTTATTTGTATTTTGGTTTGTAATAACTTCTGTATGCTAATTACAGTTCTAGGTATGTCCCTTATCAGCCTAATAATTTTAGAAACTTTCTGTCATTCTCTGAGTTGTCTGTTTACATACTTGATGGAGTCCTATGAAGCTCACCTCAGTATCCTTGTTATATTGCACTTTTATTACTTGTGTTTTGGGTGTCATCCAGATAACCACTGGGAAACTAAGGGAACAAGAGTTTTTCCTTCTCTTTTCTTCCAAAAGGTTTTAATCATTTAGATTTTTGGTTCATTTTGGGGACTCCAGTGATCTGTCCACTCTGGTTCTTTGAATTCTCCATCCTACACTCCTCATACACAAAGGGGAAGCACTGAGGGAGGGGCTCTTTCTGGCATCCCCTGAGCTGTCTCAGCACATCACACACATCACCTGAAGCAGTGGGCTCTCCCTACTTTCGGGACTTGTTTCTGAAGGCTCACCAACCCTCTCAGCCCTGAGCTCTGCATAATCCCCTCCCTTACACAGCAGGTGCCAGGGGGGCAGTGGTCACAGGACAGACCCTGTTATGAGCTTGTCTTTGTCTGGCTGCTGCTGTGGGGATGGTTGATCCCCTGTGGGGATCGCCTTTCCTGGTCCTTTGACAAGACAGCCCAGGAGGAGCTGTACCTGGGGGCAGAGTTGCATTCAGGACAGTGATCTGGTAGAGGGAGATGCAAGGAGTTATTTTGGGATCAGGGACCCAGGGACACATTCTCCCTCTGTCTGTGAGCTATATGCCTCAGGAGCTGGTGTAGCCAGTCCCTGTGTGGGGCCTGCCTGCAGGCTATGCCAGGATAATATGAATCTTCAGATGTGAAATGGCAGAGACTAGGGAGCACCCAGGAGAATGCAGAGACTGAGAGATTCTCAGAGACTGAGAAGCTGGGCCACCATTGGAACCAGCAGCTTCTGAGCCTGAGCAGCTGGTCACCCTTGGCTGGGTTGTTCCTCAGCTCTTCTGCAGGTCAGCCACCTTGACAGAGCCCCTAGGGCATTCAGATCAGCACCAAGCAAAACACCTGTCCCAGGATCCAGCCAGGGGCTCTAGAACCCCAGTCACTGCCTGGCTCCGCTTCACCCTATCAGCCCCTCAGCCTCTGCAGAAGTACTTTCTTTTACAAATACCTATTGTGCGATTATCAGAAATGCCTCTTCCATCCTAGGCTATCAAGATGGCAAGGGACTATGCTGCCTGCCTCCCAGCACCCAGGCTTGCAGCCTCCCTGCCTTCTCATCTGCTCCCCTCCTTAAGCATTAAAGGCCTGTCAGATCTACCTAGGACTCCAGATTCCTTTCCCCCTCCTGAATAACAATGAACCTGGCTGGTGATGCCAGTTTCAGGACTTCTCCCAAATCTGTCTGGCCCCGCCCCCAGGCAGTTACTTTCTGAGTTGACACAAGGGAAAGGAAACCACATGCAGGAGCCCAGAAGTGGAGCTGCAGGGGGACTAGCAGCGATTTTGTTGCTGACTGCTCTGTGAGGAAGGGAGGATTGAAGAAGTCCAGGCCAAGGTTTGCTCTGGGGTGGAATGTGAGTTCCTTATCTGCATGTCTGTAGGGGTGTGTGTGTGCACAGGGGTGTATGTTCCCGCGTGGGTGTGGTCCCTGGCAATAAGGAGCTCACTGGAACCTGACAATGGTCAGGACATTGCTTTCCAGCTCTCTCTCCCTCTGCTTTCTCTTTCCCAGGCACAGTGCCACATCTCAAATGAGGGTGTGAAGTCAGCAAGAGCAGAAACTTGGGGTTCAGAGGAAGGGCATTCCCAGGAGCACAACCCCAGGCATAAGGAAGGCTGGTGCAGCCCCTGGGAGAAATCCCCTCCGTGGGAGAGCAGTCTGCAGAGACCTGCTCTGGCTCTGAGGGTAGTCCGGAAAATAGGGGAAATAATCTATCCAGTTCCTTGTGTTGGATCTGCTTTTAGTCCAGGCTCTGTGAGTGCAGAGGAAAGGTCTCTCACTACCTCCCTCAGCTCCTCCCCACACACTCCCAGCAAAGGGAGGGCAATAGGGCTGGGAGCCTGAGCAGCTGCTGCTGTGGGGAAGGGCAGACCCTCTTCTCTGGTCCCTGCTCCTCTGTCTCCAGCTCTCAGTCCTCACTGGTGGACACTGGAGGGTCCAGGACAAGGACCCCACAGTGGACAGGCCTTGCCCTCTGCTTCCTGCCTCCCCACATTCTGATTCTGCAAATTCCCTCTGCCTCAGGCACCCTGACCTTGTCCTGGGAGACCTGTCCTCCCCTGGAGGGAGACAGTCACCTCCCTTGTGCCCAGGGCCTCTGCTCCCAGCACCAACTCCTTCTCTTGCCACCTTCTGCAGCTCTCCCGTTGGAGTATGGTCTCCACATAAACTGGATTAACCTGGAGCCCTTTTTCTCTGAGAGTTTTAGTCAGTCTTGAGGACCGATGTGGGGGTGTGAGGAGAGTCAAGTGTCACTGACACCATGCACTCTGCCCCCAAACCATTTACCTCTGTTGCTGGCAGGACAAGGGGCTGACTCCTCTGAAGTTCATTTGACACAGAGAGACTATCACTCTCCCTCCCTGACTTCTCTTCTCTCCTACAATTCTTGCTAGCAAACCTGTCTGCTTCTCTATCTCTCCTACTACCTGATCAAAGAACACTTTCTGCCATGAGGGAATGTTCTTCACTTGGATATGGTGGGACTATTGGCAGGTATGAAGCATTGAATAATGGCTGGTGGGACTCAAACATTGAATTTAAATGTTATTATTGAATTTTAATCTAAACTGAATGGGGCAAATGTGACTGGGTTCAACTTATTCTACCACATGAGGTGGTGTCTCCAGAGAGCCTTCAACACCTGGGCAGGCTCAGAGGCTCATGTGAAGCTTAATTCTTCACTTGGAAAATCCTGTCTGATCCATCTCTGCCTATAGGTAATTTCAAGAAGAATCATGGCCTCAGTCCCAGGGATCAGGAAGATGAGGGAGGAAGCCACGTGCTCCATCTGCCAGCAGCTGATGAAGGAGCCCGTGAGCGTCAACTGTGGGCACAGCTTCTGCCATGGGTGCATAAGCAGCTACATTGGTCAGAGACTCAGTTTTGGGTTATTTGGGACGATGCATTCCTTGTGTTCCTTGTGTGGAACATCAATTCAAAGGGAGAGTCTCCGACCCAACAAGCCGTTGGAAAAACTCATTGAGCGCATCAAGGAGCTGGAGCGTGAGAGGCTGTGTGAGGAACACGGGGAGCGGCTCCACCTTTTCTGTGAGGATGACGAGCAGCTCATCTGCTGGCGCTGTGAGCGCTTCTCCCAGCACAGAGGACACCGCACGGCTCTAGCGGAGGACGTATGTTTAGGCTACAAGGTGAGTGAGTGGCCAACCTTTCAGCAAGTGCTTCCTCTTATGTTGCACATTTTTATGAAATTAGTTAGTCCGAATACCAAGATTGTGACCCTAAAGAGTTTTTACCATCACGTTATTTTCTGAATAGTAGCTTATTATGACCCCAGTGAGTCAGGTCCTGGTTATTTATGCCAAACTTCAAGGTTGGTCAGAACCCATTCCTGTAAGAACTTCCTGTAATGAACTTCTCCTGGACAATACATTGTGCTCTTTGCCAACCTGCCTCGTTCATGGACTCACCTCGAATATATAATTGGAGACACCACAACATGCAAGAGTACAGGAAATCATCTGATCCCATAGGTCCGAATCACTAACTGTTAGATAGCCTACAGTCTACAAGGAGAGAGAAAAGGAACACAGGCTGCCTCATGTCCCTTGGTGTGGGTGGTGAGGAGGGGCACCAAAGGGCCTGAATGGGTATAGGGGGAGACTGCCCAGAAGTGAGTCCTGACAGGAAAATATAAATAACCTTGTGTGGAGAGAAAACGGGATTCCACTCAGGTGGACCACCTGTCACAGCAGTTTGCCTGACATTCTAGTACCTTGTCAGGCGGTGTGTGCTGGGATCGGCAGTTGAGGGCATGAGAAAGGAAGTCAAGGAAAGAACCTGAGTGTCACTCAGAGTCTACTGGTCCACAGTTGAGATTCATTTGTGGAGGGAAAGATCAGGCTGACATATAAAAGAACATTCTGCGTGCAAAAATAAACATCAAGGAGTAAAATCAAAGTTAGTCCTCCAAGAAAAGGGGATGGAAACAGGCTTTAGCAAGGGTTAAGAAGGACAGTTAAAGGTTTTCAAAATAATTGGTGTGTGATGAAGCATTGAGAGAGGTTCAGTCACCTCCTAAGTTTCTCACTCAGTAGCTCTGATTAAGGCTGCCCTTTGCTGTGCAGGAATGAAGAAGTGGGATTCATTCCTCCTCTGCCCTTGTTGACGTTTGAAGGAAACATCCCAGTCGGGCTCTGTGTCCCCTCATCCTTGAGGTGCCTGTGTCTTGTGTGAAGGTTCAGGATCTTGTGTCAGGGCTTGTCAGCCCTGAGCACCATCAGAGCACTCACCTCCTCCTATAACCCCATGAGCAGCTCATCACTGTAAAGGAGCAGATCCCATAACTTTCCCACTAAATAGTAAAAAAATAAAGCAACCCAAGCTGATGGATGTACCTCAGGAGTCAGACTGTGGAGGTCAAAATCTAGCAAGAGTTTCAGTTCCTACTAGATGGGATCTGTGAGCAACTTAGGTATTACCTTCGTGACTTGGTTTCCCCATCTGTCAGTGGAGATTGCAGTGTCCCCTCCCAGCCCACACACACACACAGCGGAGGTTGTCATAAGCTGTAAGTACATTCTTGATGTAGAGTTGAGAATAGCACTGGGCTTATAGCAAGAGCAAATCAGTCTTTTGTTAGCTAGATTCCTCACACTTTCTTGAGAGCACTGTGTTGTTATGAGCATATTTAAGAGTTTGCAGAGAGCAGGAATAATTCTTTACTGTGGACCACGACTAGCAGTTTAGTAGCTTCAGATTGCTTCTCTTGAACATGTGAGAAAGTGTTTGAAAGTAACCCTACAGCTGAATGTGGACACTAAATACTGTAAGTTGCTGTCATGACACTGTTCTTCAGGTGATACAGGGCTGTCCCTCCATGACCTGGTTCTGTAACTTCAGCTGCCATCCTAGGCTCTCCTTCCTGACTCACCATAAGATGTAAAATATCCCACGTTTATCATACACTCTGTAGTGTTTATTACTGGTCCAACACATTATTTTATAAAACATACTGTTAGGTTATTATAATCCTGTTCTATATGCAACATGACCCTGGAAGGTTGTAGTGGTGGTTGTATTTCAGGCTCTGGGTCAGCGGATGAGCTGGAATTACATCTCAGTCACCTTTCAGTGATGGCCCCTTGGGCAGGTTACTGCTCCCTTCCTAAGCCTCCACTTCTACAGCACAGAAAGA